TCTAAGAATAAACTCTTAAAATACGCGCATTTTGATTATTGAGCTACAACCCCTTCGCAAGAAAACCATCCCATCTTCCTGGCTTAAGAGAGAACTGTACTTAAAATGAATAAAATTATTTTACGACTAAATATTGTTTACTAAATTCTGAACACTAAAATAAAAAGAAAGAGTACTTTACTCTTGAGACTGTTAGGGATCGGGGGTAGTTTTCCATCAAACGGCTAGGGTACAAAATCTGAAACTTCATATTTTTGTGATACAAATTATCCTGAATCGAGTCTACAAGTAGCAATTGATTCTGCTGATGAGAACGAGTACTTTACTCTTGAGACTAATAGGACTGAGTTTTATTAGGAGCTGTTTGAAGCAGAAGGGATGAATATATTAAGTTTATTTGTATGGTACAAATTAGTACAAATTCAGTCCTTCAAATTTCTGTATTTAATTTTCTTTTTTTTTTCTTGTGGTCTTTCTAGCTTAATGCTAAGGTAGCACCGCCACGATTTTCTCCGAAATGGCACAGGATACAAAATTGTTATTAGTGGTACAAAATAGTACAAAATGGGTACTAAATATTCTGATAGGTCCGATTTGATTTTGCCAATTTGGTCCTGCTAGCTTAGAAGAGGTAACTTGGAGTCCAAGTCCAAACATCTTTTTATGATATGTTTTTCATCTCTCTAATCACAAGCAAACTTCTTTTTAAAAATAAAAACTTAAGCAACTTTGTCACCATAAATTTTCTTATAGCATAACTATTTATATGAAATATCTTCTATGTGGAAACGAATAAATTATTGGACTCCAAGCAAATATTTCTGTGTGTGTGTGTGTGTCATCTTTCTCTAAATACATATATTTTTTTAAAAGGATATATTTCTTTCAAAATTAAAAAAGGTTTTTTTATGAAAGTAATGAACGAGATTTTAGGGGATCTACAGAGGGAAGTTTGTAGGGTAAGGTAAGGTAAGAAAACCAAAGTGTGATGTTTATTGTTTTTTCGCCGGGTAACGTTGTCGGACTAAATAGCCGGCTATTAGTGGCGCGCAATTGAGAGCAACGAGATTTATACGCGACCAATGCATGTTCTGTATTCTGAAAGGTCGAATGTACATACGATCGAAAAGTCTCAGAATCAGAAGTTTCTTCCTAACATTCTCGCATAAGTTTATCGCTGATCTCACACTAAATTAATACTTTCCTGCCCCTATAACGTATTACTAGCATGCCCCGCCGGGCTTCGCCCCGGAGAACATGTGTATTAAAACACGCAAATAGTCTCTCTCTCTCTCGCTCTCTATATATAAGATTGCCCTTTCCAAAAAGATTGGTAACGAAAAATTATATACTTTATAGCACTCAATCAATTATTTCCCTAAAAATTGGAAAAATTAAAAAAACCGGTTTCCAAAAAGATCGGTAACAAAAACTGTACACATCATAGCATTCCCCGTAAAATTCTACCACTACTTCTTTAAGATTCGGTCAATAAATTCCCGAAAAATTGAAAAAATTTCCGTACCGGCTTCCAAAGAGATCGATAACAAAAAATTATACACTTTATGGCACTCCCCGGAAAATTCAACCCCTGTTTTATATACAATTCTTTGAAATTCCGTCAATTATTTACCGAAAAATTGAAGAAATTAGAAAAACCGGTTTCCAGAAGATCGGTAACGAAAAACTATACACCCTATAACACTCCTCGGGAAATTCTACCCCTATTTCATATACGTTTGGTAAAAATTCGGTCCATTGGTTTCCGAGATCATAGCGAACAAAAAAATGCAAACCCTGTTGCTTTATAATAATAGTATAGACTATCTTACTGTACTTAATTCAACAATATTCACTTCGAATTGAGCGTTCGCTCTGTTAATACATTGACAGTCTTGTCATTCATATATTTATGAGTCTTTTTGTGTTTCCAGGAGCGTTCAATCATTATTTTATTTATCAAATGTCAAATATTTTAACAATATTATTTTATTCTAAAATGACGTTTTATGATAAAAATAAATGATAAAAATGATTATGAAAAGAAACGTGCTTGGCTTCTTGGCAGGTAATTTTCATGACAAATTTAATATTTAGCTTCCTAGGAATTTTTCATGAAAATGTTATTCATACACAACGTGTCAATGTATTAATATGTATGTCGCAATTATTTATTCTGCAGCTAACACCTAATCTCGACGCATTTATTTATCCTTTTTCGGTAATAATCGCAACAAACTCGTGCAACACATAACAGATTTTAAAAATCCATGCAATCTCGACATGCGATTAAAGTATTAGGTCATCCCATAAATAATACGGGATAAAGGGAGGGAACTTGATTTATTCTTTGGCTCACAAAACTGAAAGACGTCATGAAATTGAAAATTTAATATTGAGACAGGAAGGAACTGTAAGCTGTAAGCTGTAAATAATGATGGAAAATATATTTTGGATTAAAAATAAAATGTCAAACTTTTTATCTCATTTCTCTAAAAAACCGCATTACTTATAGGATGATCCAGCAGCTATCAGCGTATCATCTGCAAATGAAACAATACAAAATTTTCATTGAACGTGACTCACTTTTTTTTTCTTGTGGTCTTTCTAGCTTAATGCTAAGGTAGCACCGCCACGATTTTCTCCGAAATGGCACAGGATACAAAATTATTATTAGTGGTACAAAATAGTACAAAATGGGTACTAAATATTCTGATAGGTCCGGTTTGATTCTGCCGATTTGGTCCTGCTAGCTTAGAAGAGGTCTCCAAGTTTATTATTTGCATACAAATATTTCATATTACTTAATCATACTATCATCAGAGAGTTTGTGGTGACAAATTTCTTTAAAATGCTTTTAAATCGTGAATTATTAACTGCATATATATGTATATTTCTATGTACAATTTAAGAAAAATATGACATTTCAAAAGTATTACTATTTCATTCACATTAGGCAATAAATACCAATCTATTGCTGTTGATAAAGGGAGAGTTAAATTTATATTACATAATGATTTCTTAGATGTTAGTAGAATAAGACAACGTGAGTTTCTTATTACGCAATAGAATATTATATTAAAATATAAATGCTGAATCTACAACAGAGTTACATGTTTGCTTTATGTATATAAATATCTTACATGTTTAACTTTTACCGACTGTACAGCAATCATTCGAAAAGTTGTTACGCTTGAATACTTTGAAAAAATTTTTCTACACGATGCGCACACACCCGCACACACCTTGCGCCTCCAAATGCAATTCTCGATTATTCAGTTAGTATTTTCGCTTCGAGCTCGACAAGTAATAAATGCAGATAAAAATTTCCAAGAGAACGAGAACTACAGTTCCCGATGTAGCTTGCGATTCGGCATGTTGTACGTACATTTTCTTATCATTAAAAAAAAAGACAGTTATTGACAATAATGTCCTATGGATCTAGGATCGAAAAGCGCGAGGGGCGTGCGAGAAACTTCGAATGTTATCTAAAATTCCGTGTCGGGGGATACGCGATCAACTTTCTTAGAGATGAATCCTCACTACTGCTCGTCCTTGTCCTTCGCGCCGTGCTTCAGGATTCGAGTGAACTCCAGATAGTCGAACATGGAGCCTTTGATCGGCGCCTCGCGGTACATTTCGTCTACATCGTCGTCCGTGAATCTAAAGAAAAAAGTTAATCGGTTTTACATAATCCTGCAGGAACTCCAATTAATTTCGTTGGCTTAACAATGAACCATGCTATTATGTATAATTATATATTACACTTCTTTATTAATATCATTAACGAATTAGCAATTATCAAAATAAATAGAAGTAACTGCACATAAAAATGTGTATGAACCATGCACACGAAATATATCGATCAATAATTATATATTATCATTATCTACGATTATACAATAATTATTATCCATAATTTTTCAATTATTGTCTTATCTTTCTATTTTTTTAGAGCAAAATTCATGTTCTAAGAAACTAAATATTATTCGTAAATATTTCTTTACCACAATAATGTAATAAATCGCAAGTTTCGTAGTCTTAGTACAATTTTGATAATATGACGTGCGATAAAATGAAATTACCTATCACCCATTGTCGTAAGCAGTTCGCGAAGGCGCTCCTCGTTTATATGACCGGTATTTTCCTCGTCAAAACAACCGAAGGCATTCTTGATCACGTCTTCAGGGTCAGTCCCTTGTAGTCTCTCTCCAAACAGTGTCAGGAACATCGTGAAATTGATAGGTCCAGGTGCTTCGTTCATCATCGCCTCTAAATACTCGTCGGTAGGATTCTTGCCTGTAAAAGATGATTTACCTTCGTTTATGTTCTATACAACCTTAATCTCAATTTAAAAGGCAATATAGAATCATCGCTTGTACAAATAGCTTGCGCGGATACATCTTTAAATCTTTTTTTTTATATCTCTCCCCGAAGAGAACTTTCACTCACCCAGAGAGGCCAGCATGTCATGTAAATCCTCCTTGTCGATGAATCCGTCGTGATTCTGGTCGATCATGTTAAAAGCTTCTTTGAACTCGGCGATTTGCGCCTGGTCGAACATCGCGAAAACGTTCGAAGTCGCGCGCTGAGCGCGCTTCTTCGTGGTGGCACGGCGACCGGCAGTTTTGCGAGAAGACATCTTCGACAATCTCGTTTGCACCTACTGCAAAATTCAAATGTTAGTAACAATTTCCTGGCGTGTCTTACAAATTAAACGATATCTCTCTCTCCTTTAGAGAGTTACGAATAGAACGTTTATAGAAATTTATATACGCTCCGAAAATTTTAATTGCAGGCGCTTGTTGACGTGAAATGTCGATCGCAATTTTGAATGCAAAATAATTTAGAGTATTGGCGTATCTTCTCATTAATATTATCAGTGAATCTTTTTGTTTGTAATCGTGATATATTTGAATGTGCGAGATACGTCATTTAGAAAGATTCTCTCGAGATATTTCATTAGATAAATTAAAAATCGCGTTTTTCTCTTGAAATTCGCAAATATCGACATTTTATCGGCGAATCTAGAATTGTATATTTTCGGACTGTACTAATGAATTACGATCTGACAGTATCGTCCGATATACGTTCTCGAAACAATGCCCGACGCGACTTATTCGCGGACGATATATTCTGCGGTTTGTTTGCTGAAAAAATAAACCGCAATCTTTCCTTTTTCACGCCCGTATAAGTTCACCGTCGGATTTTAGCGAAACAAAGACGCGTTTTCTTTTTAAATTAAAACGAACATCGCGACAGGACGGTCCCGGGTTGCCAAGTCGCCATCGGCGTTTATTTTCGGATAATCAATTCGCGATATCCCGACGCGACCGAAAAGGGAGGGGTAAAAATAATTACTTGGACGAAGGCGCGACTAAGGGGTCGTTATTCTCCGCGTGTTCTTAAATGGCTTTTACACGTTGACTTTGTCTCGTCGCTAATGTACCTTCTATCAGTCACAAACTGTCCAGTTTGGGTAAATTTGCTCGTCTAAAAATATATATACGCTTGAGAAGACTGACAGGAGGGAGCCTGCCTGATGAAAAGAGTCGTATTACACATAAATTCGACTCCGGTCTCTTTAAAACACTTATCTCATATTACACGCAATACATTTTTTGCAATAAATATTTATTATAAAATTTCTTCGCATATCAAAATATTAAGTCTCTGTCTTAGATTAAAATAAAGAAGGTTTACTGTATTTGAAAATGTGTGTAGTTTCTTTTGCAATTGCTTCCACGAATTTTGCAGACTTTACTTACTCGTGCACGCGCTTACTCATCTTTCCCTCGAATCGCGTCCTACTTTTCCTCGTCTCTCTCGCACCAGTGCTGTCGCGGTCAGCATCGACTTTTGGCGCATTGCAAATCGGAATAAATTTAATCCAATATTCGTAATAAAACGTGTGTCCAGGAAATTTTTTTCGATACTATTTTCAACGGCGTATCAAGAGCCTAGCACGATCGGTCCCGATTCTGAGGGTCGATTGTGTATCTTGAGAAACGAGGAGAAAATTACAAAAGTGGACAGATTCAGGAACTATATTTCGATAAATGAAATCCGTAAGTAGGTGCGCTAGAATTTTCTTACTTTTGTAATTTTCACCTCGTTTCAAGATACACAATCGACCCCTTGCGTTGCGCCCACTGTGTCCTCCGCTATTTACGGCACTGCGCCCGTCTGTTTATGCACGCTTCCTCGCGCATCTCTCTCCGATTGCGACGATCGCGCGTCGTTGGCGCATAACCTGGCCAAGAAATATTTCGCTCGCAGCTCGCCCCGATTATTGGGAATAACGATCCTCGGTCTTTCGAGCCAAACGAGATGTGGATTATGGAAAGCGTGATCGAACAATGGCGGCCCTTTCAGGAACGAGATTCCCTGTCAAACGCGTCGTGTTTCCACACAATCCGGGGAACGAAATTCGTTCGTTCGAGTCGATTACTCGCGTTTTGAACGAGAGACGGGGAACGTACTTACCAGTGGAGAACAGCGAACGAGAAGAAACGGGGCTGGGAGGCTAGAACGGATCTCAGCTTCACGATGCAAACTGTGAATCACGTTACGCGTCACTCGGTGGTCATTCACCACACCCGGCCAGCCAGCACCATCTGCTGGCACTGCTGGCAGGCGGGAGCCGGAGAACGGAATTGTGAGCCGCGAAAATCGCGGAGCGAGAAATATTCAGGCCATCGGTCAGGATCGTGTTCCAATCCTTCGCGCGTGAGGTATTCGTGAACAAGTTGTTCTTTTATCCGCTGGTGAATCATTTAAGGCCTTTTGAGTCGCCCCTCCGTTGAACACACAGAAAAAAGTAGCTTTTGCGTTACACACAATCGAAAATGAAAAAGACAAAGACTGAAAACCTGATTTCTTATCTGAAAATTTTAAAATGGAATTTCTGGATGGAACTTTTAATTTAGAGTTTCTTAAAAGCGCACAGAGGTATTTTACGTTGCTAAAACATTGTGGCGAGCAGCAAAACGATAATGTGATTATCAGAAATAATATAATTTTTATAGATCGTAAAAAAATATTTGCGACATAGCGATAGCTTGCGTATATCAATTATTATGGAACATACTTATATAGCTTAGACATTTTTTGGCCGTGAGCTGTGAGTTATTACAGCCCTGAACCGAGAATCTCTTCCATACATGGATTAACGTATCTTGTACCGACTCGCAACCATATAAGGGCATGAGCGAGACTGATACATATGTCGTTCTTTTATTTTTATTTTATCTTTCGTGATGGTGGAAACAATCTCGGTCCTGCTAATTCTGTTTCCGTAATTAGATCGTAATAACAGCTTCGAAGATGCCAGCATTACGATTTTATTTGCATGAAAAATTGCTACGACACTTTAATCGCATAGATATATAGACATAAAATACACTTGCCATTTATCGGGTCAACAATCTCGTTGATATTTGGCGTACATACACCTCGGGGAGATTTATAAACGTTTTAGCAATGGTCTGAGCTTGCCTTGTCCGCGATCCAAGATTTCGCGCCAACACTTGGATGGTCCTCGATCGAGTTGAAGTCGTATTGACATTGATTACGTAGACTGCATTCCGATATTTACTGTCAGCAACTGTCAGTACTGAAAATCTATAGTATACGGACGTGACATAAAATATAGAAAAATATAGATTTTCAATACTGACAGTGAATATCGGAATGCAGCCATAGTAACATTGCTACAGTTATTCACCACGTTGTACATGCAATTTATTTTATATAGGATTAAAGTTTCTCAAGGAGTTAATCGGTAGATGAATTCATCTGCGACGTTAGATTCTTTGATTTCGAGGAATTAGCGGTAGAAAATAAAGACATTTTAGGAAACTGAACTTTGAAGGAGAAATCGAACGAAATAACGTGACGAAGTTTAAAGTACAACAAGAGCACTGGTTTCTTTATTCGCACAATCGTAAACTTACGCTACAACATGTCACTTAGAACCTACGTATAATGAGCCTAAATGATCGATACACCGTATATACAGAATCGTACAAAATAGTTGATCCTCAGAGAAGAAAATCTCGTCGGTGTGTAATCCTTTCCACACCTGTCTCTTCTTCCTTTCTCGCGAATTATTTACATGAACTATTGCGCCTTCAACAGACGGTAATATAAATAACGACAACAAGAGTTTTTCGGTGTTCTCTGTACACGTTTCGAGAACGGCGGGAACCGAGCGAGATATGGTCACTCGCGCGAGATCGACAATTTTCCGCGCGCGGTTCCCGACGTGCACGAAGATGAGGAAAGCCGATGGAATTGCGAGAGCTATCGCACAGACACGCCGTTGATAGTAATTCCGTTCCTGGGAACTGGCTCGGCCTCGTAATGTCCGGATCTGCCGTACATTCTCCTTGGGTGGCCGCCGTATCTGTTGCTAACATATCAATTTATATAGAATGATATCGCGATCCTATTTACTTTAATAATTAAAAGAAGATAATATTCATATATATTTTCTTGTACGATCTCTTTTCTATAGTTCAGATCTTCGTGCTTTTTTAAATAACTAATTTTTCTCGATTCGCTGTTTGCAGTGCGTTAAAAAAATTTTAAATAATAAAAATGAGTTGATTTTAGAGAGTCCTTATCTAACACGAATAATTGCAATCGATGTCAGTCTATTGAAAATTTTTCGTTGCAACTTACCCGTACGCGCTGTACGGATTGTCGTAGAGACCATCCTCGGGGACATTCTCGTACATGGTATTATGCGTGCCGTCGTTCAACGTCGCGTAAGACATGACGGCGGCATTTTGATCCTCTTTCCGTTCCGCGGCTTGGACGTTCTCGGTGTTCTTCACCGGCGTAGCTTTCCGTCTGCGGATGTAATTTAATTCGTAAATGCACTTTGAGATCGAAAATACACGCGTTTATTATTTCGAGAGACGATACTCACAGTCTAAGATAGACCAATCCGAGGATAATTAATATAACGATAATGACGCCAGCTGCGATGCCAACGCTCGTGCCGACACCTTGAGGCTCTGCCACCTCGTTCTCAGCCACTGTGACACAAATGACAAATATATTATTCGAATCTTTTCCGACGCACTTTCCTTTAGTCGTTAAAATAAACGGTTCGCGACATTGACGCAAGAATTTTTTAATACTTGAGAGAACTTTGAAAGTTCGCCGAATAAAGCTTGAAGGTTTTTCGTGGTATAAAATATTCTTATATCTTAAAAGCGACGTTATTTAGAGGCATATTTGAAAGACACATAATATCGGTGTATATATTTACATTCGCATTTTGGCTCCTCGCCGCTCCAGTATCCGGTGTCCAAACACTTCCTTAGGAATATGCCAGTCCTTTCGTACTGCGGCAAGCAGTGATACTCCGCGGCTCCTCCGTAAGTCGTCGATCCGTTCACTACTATCACTCTACCGTTCTCTATCGGGCCCGGATGCTTACAGTCGACCGCTAGAAAAATATCGCGAATGGATTTTGTGTCCTTCTAAGTTTATCGCAATACTTTGATCATATATTTGTTAATTTATTATTATAAAGTGAAAGATTTGTCACTTAGTGGTATAAAATTTCAAATATCTTTTTAAAACTATTATTTACAAAATGTTCGTTACTTCATATAACGAAGAAAACTTTTGAATAAAAAAATATCGATTATTAAATTTATGATAAGCAAATGTATTGTGATGCTGCATTTTCGTTGAATAAAAAATTGATGGAGAGAAGTTTCGTACAGAAACAAGCAGGCGTTGTTCCGCTCCAGGATCCATTTTGCAAACAGATTCTAGTCTCGTTTCCCTCCATGTAAAACCCACGTGGGCAACTGTAGTGCGCCACACCACCCACACTGTGGGTCGATACTTGCGTCGATAGCACGCCCGTTTTCTCCGGATCTCTGCACCGTATTTCTGTAAACCGTTTCGTTAAGCGTATGAACTATATGTTTTAAAGCGAAATAATTAATATGAAGCCAGAGTTAACTTATTGGAATCAAACTGAATGCAATAAGCTTTCATTATTTATCTTTTACATCTTCTTTGAAGAGTTATCTCCGATCGATTACCTCGACAGACAGGGGTATCGCTGCTCCAGGTGCCGTTTTCGAGACACAGTCTTCTAGCAAATCCATCTAGCTCGAAATTGCCGTCGCACTCATAAAGTGCAGCCGCTCCATAATACGTTGCATTCGAAGTCAACGTGTAACGTCCGTGTTGAATGTGCTCAGGTTTACCACAATCGACATCTGTCAGATGAACGCTATTAAAGTCGTGGACCGATTCCTCGATATCGTAACGAATATTTTATAATATCTCGCGGTATTATCATTTTAACCAAACGATTATTTGACAAGAAAAGCTTTCTAAATCGTCGACAATTACCGTTTATTCTGTATAATTTGTCAACCGACTTGATAAAACGCACTTTTCGATGTTTAGAATATCTAAAAATACGTACAGACACATTGCGGCACTTCGCCGCTCCACTTTCCGTTCTCCTCGCAGGTGGACAAAGGTTCACCGACCACCTTGTATCCTCTCTCGCATCTGTACTTCGCCAGGGCCCCAATCTTGTACGAGGTCGCGCCCGTGTTCGAGTTCTCCGCGGTTCCCGTGCGAATCAACGTCCTCCCGTACATCCGATCGTTTCCGGTTACCGAGAGAATCCCGTGTTCGGCCAGAACGGGCTCCGGACAACGGATTTCTGAGACGAGAAACATAAATTTTTTACGAACGCGCGTAAAAATAAATTTTTACGACTTATTGAACTTTCTCTCGATTGCGCAATTCTGGATTCTACTCTATTTGGTCCCAGTGTAATTACCCTCGCATTTCGGAGTAGCATCGCTCCATTGGCCATTATCGAGGCAATATCTCCTCGAGACTCCATTCAATCTATAATTTCTCGTGCAGCTGTATGTGAGTTCGCTGCCAAGATGAGTCGTATCGTTCGCGTATTCCACAGCGCCGTTCAAAACAGGAAGTACCTTGCCACAGTCGACATCTGCGCGATAATTATTTTAGTCAGTAATTTTAGGAGCAATTATCGAATTCACAAATTGAGTGAAGGAAATATATATATTATATATTCTCATAATTCCATTCGAGATAAAAAATGTTGCTTAATTTGCGAGGTGTAAAGATCATATTAGTCTTTATTAGTATTTCAAATATCTTTCTTGTTTTAATTAAACAAAAATGCTAATTTGAGTTTGTTAAAATCACGTCAAAAAGAATCTCAAACGCTTAATAATTTTTAATCTCTAAATGTAAAAATGAAATGAAAGGAACAGCTGATCGTTTGAGGCTGGTCGAAATAATTTTTCTATTTGTTTATATTTTATATGCTAGCAAGCTGGAAGAGATCTCGTTTAGGGAGAAAACCATCAACATTACCACAAACATTAGAGACAATCTTGATTTAAGCCTTTCATAGTCCAACATGATTATGTCATGCGAGTGGTTTCGATGGGAAAGAGATATGAAGGAGGTGACTCACATTCGCAAACCGGCACTTCTCCCGTCCATTCGCCGTCTTTGCCGCACGAATGTTTCGCCTCGCCGTGAAGCAAATAACCGACGTCGCAGTGATACTCGATAACGCT